TGTTTTTCACGTTGTTGTTGTTGTCGTGAATTAGATGATTATTATAGTTAGTTACTCTTTGGAAAAAAAGTTGGCTCTCTTTTACTTTAACGTGTTTGCTGTCAACAAAGTGTACTACGGTCTAGACGGTTTTTGTCTCAACGCGTTTCATTCTTTGGGTTAGAGAGTCAACTTACGTGTAAATGCTGGTATTTATATGACTAGATCTAGACCTATATCGTGACATAATAACTCTTGAGATTTAATAATACGATGTTCTGAAAAACTGATACCAGGTTGTTGTTTTGGTCAGCTTTAGTGACTGTGACTTGTGTTTTAGCCATACGTTTGTAGTCTCCCCCCCTCCCCTTCCCTTCCGCACTTTCAACCCCATTTTACTTGTGGCTGGAGGGCGATACACACAAGTAGTCAGTATGTTTTGCTTTTATCTTGTCTTTGTGTATTTTGGATGACTGTCGCCTTGTTGTCTGCGCACAGTTAGCTCAGTTGGTATCATGCTGGACTACAGAGTAGATGACCCTGGTTCGAATCTCCAACGGGGTGTTCTGAACTTGGGTTGTTTTGGGGATTTCTGAAGGCCCTCTCTTTGCTCATTAGGTTTAAAATTTGGAGGTTCTGCATCTTGAAAGAACTTTACAGAGTTGAATGGGGCCTTTTACCCATACAATGACTGATGTGAAGTGTAGCATGGCGTTGGTTGCGAAGTGGTTAGGCTACCGGATTCATAATCGTGAGATTGCGGGCTCGGGGGTTCGAGCCTCACCTCGGCCCGACGCTGTGTCCTTGGGAAAAGCACTTTTCGCACATTTCCCACTTGGCTAGGTCTTCTCGGAATCGGGCTTTTAACTTGGGGGTTCTGCTTCTTAAATAATCGAATAGTGTTGAAAGGGACGTTAAACTCATACCATTTCACCTGTTTTTTTATGTAACGATGACGAAATCTTACTTTACAGGTGTTTTCACGAAGATGGGGGGAGGGGGCGGCAATTGTAATTTCCATACTAAGTTGTACCTGTACCTCTTTTACCAGTTTTTTCGTGTCTTTCTTTTCCTAAATGCCGAGTGACCGTCATTGTAGTGATGGTGTTTCTTCTTTTGAAATCAATACATCTGTGTGTACCTGTAGTTTCAGAAGCCGAATACAGAAGGAATTAGCTTGTACATGTACTTGTTGTAGATGTGGGTGGTTATTGCGCTGTGTGGTGGAATCGGTTTCGTTTTACTTTTAGGTGTTTTTGTAATTTTGAAAATCTACTTCCAGTCCTAGATCTACGACATGTAGCCGTGGTTTGGTCACGTGGTTAACTGCAAATCAACATCGACATACAGTCAGTGATCGGCATATATGATGTAACGGTTAGGCGCTTCGCAGTCGCCCGCAGGAGTCACGAGTTCGATTCCCAATTGGGGAGAAAATTTATTCAGTATCTATCTCAGTCTTCCTGCTGGGATGTTGTGTATCCCTCGTCCCTCTCAGCCCAGGTTAGTCCAAGCAGGCAGGGTCGAATCCTGCGGGCTATGTGTTCTAAATTGTGTCGATGACGGCATAAAAACCACAAGCATTTGTTTAAAAAAAAACTGACCAGAAAAAACAACAACAAAAAAAACCAAACAACAACAACAAACCGTCATCATCATCAACAACAACAGAAACAGTCAGTAGATATGAATACTATTTTCAACGAGCGGGGGCTAAGTGTGTCAAGACAAGAGTAGGAACATTTATTTTGTCATTTGTTCGTCCTTTCACCCCGAACCGCTACATATCGTGTAAGAGTGCACTCTTCAGATGATATGAGACTGGGGTTTCATGTCACAATCGAGCTGATAACGTCTCTCAAGGATAATGAAAACTGGTAATAGGTGATAATGCCAAGGCTAAAGGCTCTTCTGGAGACCGAGCAAAATGAAAAGATGCCGAGCAAAGAAGTAAATGCAATGTATTGTTAAAATACCGAGATACTAGATTGTTATGTTGATGATAGTAATGATATATTATAATAATAACCCCCCCCCCCCCCAACTATATAGCGCATACCCATGCTCCACAGCATACACTATATGCTCTACAAACAACTATTATGAATTATTACCCCAGAGGACTCTAGGCCTAATCTAATAGTAGTATTGATAGGGGCGTTCAACCCGTACCATTTCACAATTTCACCAATTCAGACTCAAGGCTCAAGGACACTGAGAAACATACTCGGCCTCCCGGAAAGCATACAATTTAATGTAAGCAGCCGATTAAGTGCTCAGACATTAACAAAAGGACAAGATCTTTTCCTGTCTATAGTTGGGTACCCATTCTTGCGTGGATGACATGAGGAAAAACTTGTTGGGTAAAATAAAGTGTCTTTCCCAAGGACTCAACGCCCTACCCCTCACGAAGTTCGAAGCAATGACCTTTCGGTCACGAGCCGGACAAATAAATAGAAATAACTACCGAGAACCATGCATTGACCAAACAAGCAAAACCTCAACAACAAAACAGCTAAGTCGAGCGTTGCACGGCCTTCAACTTTCTGTGGGGAGAGGGGGGGGGGGTTAGGAAGGACCGGCAAAGGTCTCTAAGTCAAAGCAGTGCTGAACAATGGTCCTATCGTTTGCGGATCGGAGAGCAAGACATGTTATTTTGTCTTGCCGTGCTTGTGCTCTTGCGCGCCCCAGCTTTGAAGCTCCAGTTATAGACCGTTCCAGGAGCAGACCGCTGTCTATTGGCCACTGACTGCTACACCACCTTGCTTTTCCCACATGACATAGCTCTTGTGTTGGATTTATTGCTGTTTGGTGGTCATTTTCCGTCTTTTGCTTGCTCTGCGTGCAATTTTGTTTTCCTAGTGGTAAATAAAGCCGGCAGAAGTTTTCCAAGCAGACTCAAAGAAAAAAAACTTGTCCCTGTATATCCAGACCGTAGATATTCTTAAAATTATCGATGAAATGAGTGTTACCGAGCGTTATACATTTCCACTGAATCAAGCGTAATCGTACGTTATGCAAATATCCAATGAAAAGGGCATAACTGACTTGCGACTGTTTATGCAAATATCCAATGGAAAGAGCATTACTAACAACTCTCCTCAGCACAATAAAAGAAAAGTGTGTGCGGGGCACAGCGAAAAAAAAAAGTTTGCTCCGAGGAGTGGTCAGGCGTGTCTCAAACCAGCTCCTCATGGAGACAATTAGCAGGAAGACCCTGAGGTGGACGCTGGAAAGGAGAGATGAGCAGCTATAGACATGTGCCGCCTGCTATGATTCTAGCTCTGGATCCAAGTAAATCCAAGTAGCTTGCTGGGCAAGTGTGGATCAGGATGGCCGCCTCTTTTGTCTGCTCTGTTCCAATTTTGAATGGCTGCCAGGTTATGGACATAGTATTTGGCCAAGGGCCGTTTAACGTCCTTGGCATAGGTTTACCCAGAGTACCCAGCCCATAGAGCATTTTGCACATGTCGTTGTGATTGCTTGCGTGTAGGGTGACTTTATTGTGAAGGACCGCCAAATCTGTCTGCTCTACACCTTTAAAAAAAAAAGAGGTTGTTTAGTGGTTTCTCAGCAGAGTCGTGTGTTTTCCCAGAATGGTCTAGCGCAAGACGTTCTTTCCCCTTTCTCCTTTCTGGGACTCTCTAGCCGTTTTGTGTATAGTGACGAGCCTTTCAGCAAGGTTATCAACAAAAAAAAATAAAAAATCAGTTATTATTATACCCCCTTTGCGTTGTCTTTCTCTCCTGATGCCTCTTTGAAAGAAGTTTTTAATTTATATTTTTGTATAATTGAAAAGGAAGATTACGTGCATTTGTTAACTGATTTAGTTGGGCTTTTCTAGTACTGTACTCAATTTATTTGGTAAAAAAAAAAATTCCTTTAGAGTTAACTCGACGTTTTGAGTTTATTTTGCACTCGTAATTTTATACGTATATTATCTTGGTGTAGTGGTTAGGCGCCTCGCCCTCGCACGGAGAAGACGCGAATTCGATTCCCGTGTGGGGAGGATTTCTTTCTATTGAGTATCTCCGTCTGTTTGTGAAGGTGTTGTATCCTTCTCAGCCTGGGTTGGCTCTGACAGGCAGGGTGATCGAAGCAACCAGCCTCCAAACGGATCTAAATCATGTTGATACAGGAGCGTAAAACGCTTACAATTATATGTATCAAGTCGCTTTTGATGGGCTCCATCTCCAACGGGGAAACTCTCGCATTATTGCTCGAAGTGGCTATTAGATTTCGACATCGAAACATACATTTTTTCAGCGTTGTACGTCAACTTTTTAACAGTTGTGTTTTCTCAGCTCATGTTATCTGAACGTTTGAATTCCTTCCCGTCGCCCCTGCGCCAGGTGTGATAGTGTGCGTGTGAATATCACAGGTACTCCCTTGCTCATCCCGTGGACTCTGTTGTACGTGTATAGATCCATCTAACACAGGTGTATTGATTCGTTGTTGTTGGGAAAATGTTAGTCATCGCTATCGTTACAATATTGGTTGCGTCCCTCGATTGTGTTATGTGCGCACGATGCGAAAGTGAACGCCCTCTTTGGCCTTGTTATGCTAAAAATGTTTGCCTTTATAATGCTTAAAACTCGTAATAACGCTCGCGTAGTGGTGATGATAATGATGATGGTGGTGGTAGTGTTAAATGTTGATGATAAAAGTAATCAAGTTGAAGCAGAAGTCATGTTGTTGTAGGGGTGGTGGTAATGACAGAAGTACATGTAGTAGGAATTATATTGCTTCAGTTTTTCCCTCTTCTTTTTTTGTGGGCGATTGGCGGGTGCTCTAGTGTACTTAGTTCCTTCTTTCCTTCCTATCAAACATCTATCGTCCTTATCCTTTCTCCTTCTCTTATTTGATTGTTACTCTCTTGTCACACCTCTAATCTTCGGCACTTAGTTTTACCCTTCGTCGTGCGGGCTATTCGACGGTCGTGAGTGCAGTGTAAGCCATCTGTTACAAACTAGCTCGGTTCTTTTCTTTTTTTCTCTCCATTGGAGGGCCTTGCAGTTGTAGCCCAATGACATATGATAGCCGTAGGGATCTAATTTATCATTCGCTGGCACGCTCGGATTATTATTATTATACTCACTACTTTACATACGGTATTGTGCTAAATATAGCGCGGAGCACGCGACCGCCCGAAGTTCCCGACACTCGGTGACACATCCTGCCCCATGAATTCTGCACCAATCGACTACTCGCCGGTGTCTTCGATGGATCTAGACGAAATTTACTCGGATCAGAACAAGCACCACCCTCTGCCATGGGAGGACAATATGTGAGTGAAGAATACGTATATTATGTATTATATAAGCGAGCAGCTTACTGCTGTGACTTTTGAACGTTAGATAAAATACGACCCCTTTTTAAAAGATTTACATTAATTGTGCATCAAGCTGTTTTTCCGATTTTTCAACTGCTGTCTTGCAATATTTGTTGCTGTTGTTTTTTCTTCTCTTTATATCAATAAGCTCATATTTTCTGTGTTTGAAAAACTTGTATAAATAGTTATATTCAAAAGTTTCTACACGAATGGGGAAATGACACGTTTCTGAAGGCAGCTAAAATCGTTTTACTTTGCCAGTGAGGTGGCTTTGTAACCCACGCTCCACACGATTGCGGTGGTCACAGCTGCATTTTGATTATATTATGCGGTCGAACGTTTTAAGTTTGTGTTTTCTGCACCACGACTCTACTTGTTGAACTCGCTCCTACATATTACACGTACATGTACATGTAACTGGATGTTGAAAAAATTGGGAACGTTGTGCTTTTTAGAACCAAATCCTTTCGAAATGCACATATCATCTCACCCCCCCCCCCCGACCCTCGTCCTCCTTCCGTGTGTCCCTGTCTCTGACTTTGAATTTCTCTGCCTCCCTCTCCTTCTGTGTGTCTGTCTGTCTGTATGTCTGTCTGTCTGTCTGTCTGTATGTCTGTCTGTCTGTCTGTCTGTCTGTCTGTCTGTCTGTCTGCGCACGCATGTCTATCTAATAATTATTTACCTATATGTACATATAATTAAATACTTCATATTTATACAAGGTATTGGGCCTGTATCTCAATTAAACATTAACTTGAAAAGTCTAAAGTCATTGTAAAGATCTCAAAGTCTCAAAGTCACATGGTTTCATTTTTGCAAGACAGTCTTTACGTTCTGGCAAAGGCGGTTAAGTAACGATTTTACTGTAGACATTAAATTTGTGCTCCTTTGATTTCTTCTTCTTTTTTTCATTTTTGAATATCGTCCGTTCGTTTTATTTTAACAACATTTCTTTCTCTGCTGATGTAATTATTATACGGCTTGCGTAATGTTTGTTTTATAGTTCCCCATATTATATCATGGAGCCGCATTCCAAATTCGCCCTGCCATAAATGGGCCTTAACCAGATTCTCTCCGCTTCGTTTCTTAAATGGGTCATGTTGTAATAACTATATTCAGTTGACTAAGAATCTGGGTCATCTTGATGCCACCGACTCTTGCTTGGTTGAAATTAATGTATTTCATGTCAAATACGTTTAGAATTTGGGCCGTCTGAATGATGTTACTGTCTCTTATCTTTCGTGATGCTCACTGTCTCACTTGTTTTTGTGGTGCAGCTGTAAGAAATGCGCTTAGCTTCAGAGTTCGATTCTCGTTGACCACTCCCTCTTGTGGGCCGGTTGTTTCGGAGATGGGAGTTAAACTCGGAGGTCCCTCCTCTTAAACTTAAAGATAACCTAACAGTGTTGATAGGGCCGTTAAACTTAAGCTATTTTACCATTTTTCATCTCATGTGGGCGGGATCGCTGCCACACGTGAACAGACATTTAGAAGACTTTCGACAACTGTACGACATCAAAGATTCATATCAGGGACACGCCGTTAGCTCAGTTGGTATCATGTTGGATTTCTACGGTGTGGATGACCCTGGTTCAAATCCTCGAAGAAGCGATATGAACTTGAGATATTTTTGGGAGCTTTTAAAGCTTTATAGATTCACTTTGCTGGCTTGGTCCTATCGGATATTGACATTCAATTCGGAGGTCTCCCGGCGCCCTTTTGATTAACTGTACTTTGTTGAAAGGGGCATTGAACCATCAATGTGGGTGGTTGGCAGGTCCTCTGGTGTGGTTTGCTCCTTCTTTCCCATCAAACTCAAACTCAAACATCTATCGTCCTTGTCTCTCCTCTTTTTTTTGTGACATGTATCATCCTTATTTGATGTTGTTCTCTTCCCTCCCTTTTTTGGGGTATGTTACTCTCTAGTAATACATATATTCTTCGGCTCTTTTGTGAACTTTTTGTGTTGCAACTGCTGTAAAACTCTTACTAAAACTAAAAAACCATCAATGCAGTAACCTGCTGCTGCTAATACTTGGTAGTGTTTCTCACTCGGACTTGTCTGTCCACCCCATGCCGCTAAGGACGGGCGTCTGCGACCCGAGTTCCATTCCCGAATGGGACGAATTTTTAAATGAAATATCTCGGGTCTTTTAGCTGGTTTGTTGCATTCTACTCAGCCTTCGTTCGCCCTAACAAGCAAAGTCGGAAATCCACCCACTGAATGATCTAAATTGTATTGATGGAGGCGAAAAAAAAAAGAATTTAAAAAACACAAAAAACTCAAACAAGCAAGCAAACAAACAAACAAACAACCCCCCCCCCCCCCCCAATGCCCAAACATGAAAGCAACAACAACGAACGAGAGGTCTTAAATTCGAATCTGACATGAGTACGGCAATCTGGTTGGGAGGTCACTTTCTTTATTTTATTCTTTAAAAAAAAATGTTTCAGAAAAGTTGTAAATAACTGGCATAATGCCATAATGCAGTTACTAAATTTCCACATTCCATCTGTTTGAGAGTATTGTTTAATACAGATTGTTGTTTGGTGCCGATGACCAAAATAATAACGACACTAATGATGATGGTGCAATGAGGTAATTATATTCGGGTTATTGAGCGTTGTGAACGAGAAATGTAAATTTATTCCACGTACCATTTACGGCCCGTCCCAATTTTTCTCGTTTTCTTCATGCTCTTGGTGATGCAACATTTTCCACAAGGGCATGCACTTTTATATGTCATGCACACCCCTTCTTTCGACCGCCATGTCTGTCTGTCTGTCTGTCTGTCTGTCTGTCTGTCTGTCTGTCTGTCTGTCTGTCTGTCTGTCTGTCTGTCTGTCTGTCTGCCCCCCCCCCCCCCACCCTTTGTTTTGGCCTCGACACGCATGGCGCCCGTTTCTTTCCTCTCTGCCATTCCTTTACTTCTTCTTCCCACACTTTTCCAATACAGTTAAAATTGTGTAATGCGGCCATCCATTGTCGAGGAGAAAAGTGGCCCTCTTAAGATCTTATACAGGTGGGTGTCTTACGCAATGTAATTATAATGTAAGGAATAAGCAAGGGAGGAAATGGAAAGTGACCGTTCGCAAAGTCAGTTAGGTGATTGTCTTGTACAGGTGGGCTTTAGACTAGTTACAGCAGGTTCGTGGGTGGTTTGCGGGTGCTCTGGTGTGGTTAGCTTCTTCTTTCCTATCAAACACCTATCGTCCTTATCTCTCCTTCTTCTTTTTTTATGTTTGTTACTCTCTTGTAACAGCTCTAATCTTCTGGCGCTCATATGACCTTATGCAGTTGCGAGCGCCGTAAAACCTCTACTGAAACTAAACAGTGTCATTATAATGTAATGAATAAGCAAGGGAGAAATTGGAAAGTGACCGTTCGTACACTTAATTGATTGTCTTTTACAGGTGGGTGTTAGACCAGTTAGAGCAGGTTCGACGGTAAAATTCGTTACGAGGATAGTCCTGATCTTAGACGATGTTTGCTTTTAGTTTCGAGTTGCGATCGCCGAATGTGGATCACCCGCCTCTCCTTCTTTGCCCCCCCCCCACCCCCCCCCCCCCACCCCCTTTCCCCTCTTAACCAGGGACCCTATTTTTATGACTTTGAAGGGGGACTTTGTTTTGTTTTTGCTGTTTTTTTGTGTATTTTGCTGTTATTGTTTCATTTCGACAGTGTAACTGAGATTTGACACGTATGTGCCAGCGTCGTAAGCGAGCGTGCGTCACTTGGAACCAAAAATATCTCAGGTATCAGATAAGTTCGCCCCCTGTGTGCCAGTTTACAGTTTACGCTCTTCTGAGGCCAACAAAGAACTGAACTAGTTTTTACGATCTGGCAAACCATGATACGTTAAGAAGTACAAAGTGCAGTGGGTTTTTGAGCTTGTTTTCTCGCTCGTGTTTGTTAAAGACCATTTGGGGGGTATTTGGTGTACCTCTGTTTGTACCTCTTTTCTATTTTATATTCTATTCTTGCTCCCCTCTTTCCCCCTCCCACCCCCCTAAAAATTGCGCTCCGTTTGTCAGCGTACTAACACACACACACACACACACACACACACACACACACACACACACACACACACACACACACACACACACACACACTCACACACACACACACACACACTCAAACGCGCGCGCGCTCACAAGCACTCACACACTTACACAGAGAGAGTTAGAGAGAGAGTTAGAGAGAGAGAGTGAAAGAGAGAGAGTGAAAGAGAGAGTGAAAGAGAGAGAGAGAGTGAAAGAGAGAGAGAGAGAGAGAGAGAGAGAGAGAGAGAGAGAGAGAGAGAGAGAGAGAGAGAGAGAGAGAGAGACAGAGAGGGGGGGTTAAAAGTTAATGTATTCCTCCCTCATTCCCCATGGCCATTGCTTGGGGAAAGGAGAGGGAGAGGGGGAGAAGTGGGTACGTTAACTCTTTTTTTTTCTGTCTGTTGTATTTGTACCAGTCCATTTTTCTTTCTTTCCCCAAGTCCTAAAGTGACATTTATCGTGTCAACATGCTTCTCCGTGACGTTCTTCTTTTCTTTTCTTTTTTTTTTTTTTAAAACCACAAACAAACATTGTCCAGTCTATTGACATCCTGTCGTCCTTCGGTTTCTTGCTTCTGTGTTTATTCCCTCCTCCTCATGTTACCTCTGTCTGTCTGTCTGTCTGTCTGTCTGTCTGTCTGTCTGTCTGTCTGTCTGTCCGTCCGTCCGTCCGTCCGTCCGTCCGTCCGTCCGTCCGTCCGTCTGTCTGTCTGTCTGTCTGTCCATCTGTCTGTCTGTCTTATTATTATTATTTTTTTCAGTTTTAGTAACAATTTTACGACTCTTGCAACACAATAAACTCATAGAAGTGCTGAAGATTAGAGGTATTGCAAGAAAGTGACAAACACCAAAAAAAAAAAAGAGAGATACGGACATTATTATTATGTTTTAGTGGAAAGAAACAGCAAA